GGTGCGCGGAGGGTGCGTGGGGATGGGCCGGCCTGCGCACGCGAGCCCGACGTGCGGGTCCCTGGGGTCTGCTTTGCGTGTCCTCGCGAGGGACGAGTGATGCGCGCGGCACGGGTGCCCGAGTGCCGTGCGTCGCTTGCGGACGTCTGTGTGCGCCTTCGCTGGCTCCGAGGACCTGCGCTCCGTGCTCTGGGTTTTCCAACCGGTTGTCGATGAGATGTTATGAGGAGGCCCGGGGTGGTGGTGGTGGGGAGACCCTGATTTCCTGAACCAGAGCCAGGCAGAGTGGTTATTGGTGCTGCTCGGGCGCCTCATTTAAAGGGTCCCCGTCCCTCGCCGCTTACCCTGCGGGAGAGGCTGCCCCTCTGTCCCCCAACACCCAGGGCACTTGGTGGCTGAGTCTCTTCTTCGAGTGGCAGATGGAGCTGAGCAGAAAATTCACCCCCGACCACCCCAGAAGCCCGGACGGACACTGTCCAGCAGCCCCTGCTTTATTGCATCCGGAGCAGGGAATGAACCACCTCCCTGCCCCGCCATCTACCAGCGACATTCAGAAAGGCACGCACCCCATAACTACAGCAGCCTGACTCCAGGACCTCAGCACCGCTGGGGTCCCTGTCCCGAAGCTAACAGGCCGATGCGTGTCATCTGTTTATTATTAATAACAGGCGAGCTGTTATTAATAATAAGAACCAACCCCTGCTCAGGGAGACCCGCAGCTTCTAACCCTAAAGAGGAGCCCTCTCTCTGGTTGCCAACGCGCCACCCCAGCTTCTCCCTAATAATTGCCATAGGACAGATGGGGGTGCGACAGAGCAAAGCTTTAACCCCCCTCACCCTCCTGCCTTCTGTGGGGAGGGGAGAAAGGGTGCCCGTCTCTGCACGTACTTCCACATTCAGGCATCGAGGGTGCAAGTGTTTTTAGGAAACTTGTTCCTCTCGCCTGTGACATGACGTTAGTGCTCAAGGAAGCTCCTGTAGCAGACAGCCTTGGTCTGGTGTCCCCTGCGCAGATGGGGGTTGGGCTCTGGAGCCCGACACCTGAGGGGGAGGCTGCAGGAGTGGAGGGCAGCGAGAAGAAAATACCCTGCTCGGGGTCTTTAGTTTTAATCTTCACCTTTGTTGTGCTTTTGATGATAAAAGAAAACACATTCTGAGAAAAAAAATACAGATCCCAGTACTAGAGAACTGGTCAGCATCGGCATGAGTCCCTGTACATGCACTGGCTTGTTTCCCATATGTGTGTACATACAGTTTAACAGAAATGGGGTCACAGTGTTCGTGTTGTTGGGAACCCGCTTTTTTCATCTACGAGCAGCTTTGGCATTACCGGATGTGTGTGTGTTGCCGTCTTGATCGCTGCCATTTTGCTATTTTAAGACCCTGATGAATGACCTAATCATTTATTTCACCACATTTCAGTTGGGCTGCTACATTGTCCAGTCATTTCTTAGTGTAAACTAATCTTTCTCCAGGAGATCTTTCTCCCTAGAGACATTTGTCATTAATATCTGTGTAACTTTCTAGAGCTACTTTACGCATAGATCAGCAAATACAGGTTGGTGTTATTTTCTCTTTTTTATACAAATGGATCATATGATGCACCTTGTAGATCAATTCATGGCTGGGTTCAAGGGCATGCAATTATTTTTAGGTAGTATGGAATTATTTAGTGTGTTCCCTCAGCTTCCAGGCACAAAGACTGGCCCTCAAAGTGCCCCATGTACATTGCTTCCTGAGTTTTCCCTCGAACAGCTTTTCTCTCCCTTCTTGTCACCACATAGATTCCCTCCTCACAAAAGCTCTAGCCTCATTGTGATAATTGAATTTCCTCAGAAACAAAACGCTCCCTTCTCCATGCACACGCCTAGTTTATACCAAGCATCATGAGAGCTTTGGGATGGTTGGGAGAGTTTTTTGTTTTTGAAAGCATTGTTTCAATAACTAACATTCGTACAAATGAAATAACATATTCAACATATAGTCATAAATATACAAAAAGATACACAGTGGACAATGTCCCTCCCTCCTTTGGCCTGGCACTCACACCATCTCCTTACAGGGAGATAAGCCAGTTTACTGGTTTCTTATATATCTTTCCAGAAGCATTTTGTGCCTGAATAAGCAAACATACATATTTTTTCCTCTTAAACACAAATAGCACTATACTGTAGACATAGCTCTAAAACATGATCTTCAAGATCACGCTCTATCAATACCTAGAGCACTACCTCTTTCCCTTTTTCCCACTGCATAGTATTCCACTGTTCAGATACACTAACTTAATCAGTTCCCTATTGATGCATCTTAGGTTGTTTCTAGCCTTACTAACAGTGCAAGGAACACTTTCTAAAATGTTGCTTTGTAGGTGTCTGCTACTCCTGTAGAATAGATCACTGGAAGCCAAATTATTGGGACAAATGGTTTTGAAGGGGCTTAATCTTAAATAGCTGTCACATTTGGAGTCACGTGATAGAATAACTTCTCTAAAATTGTTAACATGTTACTAGGACAACTCTTAAAGAATGAGGAGTTTTAGTACCTAGAATTTTAGGTGCTGTAAGCCAGTGAGAGCTATCTGTGGCAGCCAGGGACCTTCCTAGTAACTTGCTAACTGTTTATTGAAGAACCACTATGTGTTAGAGGCTGCTTGATATTAGGAAACTAGAGATACACCAAGGAGTAAAGGATGTTCTTCTGTCAACAAGATGGTGTATCATGTCATATTTGTAGCATAAACAAAATCTGGAGGTTTGGGGACACCTTTACAGAGTTAGTAGCATTTGATCTGGGCCCCACAGGAGGAGGAGGACTGTGCCAGGTAAAGGAGAAGAAGGTCATTCTGTGCAGAAGTGGCAATATAAGCAAAGGCCAGGAAAGCTGACAGCGCCTAGCCCTGTCACCTGGGGAGCCACCTCCCCGGCCTTAGCTAGAGCGTGTAGCCATGGCGAAGATGGGAAAGGAAAATAGGCAGATTTTACTTTTTTTTATTTTTTAAATATTTATGCACACAAGAACTAGGGTCCAGGCCAGAGGTGCAGGGGTGGTGAGAGGATTCACCAGAGACAGAGTGGGTAGCAGAACAGGTCGACTGATGAAGTCCACTGCTGAGGGGAGCAACAGGTGGGTCAGGAGAGGTCTGCTGCGCCCTAGGAGTCCCTCCCTGACTGGGGATGGAACTCTGTGCAGTGTGACTGCATAGCACTGAGACTTAACCCCTTGTGCCACCAGGGAGGGCCCTAGGCAGATTTTAAAGAGCTTTGAATGCCATACAAAGAGAAAGAACTTACTCTGTAGACACTGGGAAGCCACCAAAGGCTTTTAAGTAGAAGAATGATGTTCGAGTTTTAGGAAGATATTGGCACACCGAGGAAGATGAGTTGGCAATCAAGAGTGTAGTGGCAGTTAGGGTAGACGACAGGGTGTGATGGTAAAGGAGCACGATTTCCTGAATATCTGCTCTGCGAGAGATTTGTTCATAGAATGTTATTTTAATTAAGCCTCACATCACCGATCTGAAGCAGACATTATGACCCTTATTTTACAGTTGAGGAAGCAGGTTCAACAATGTAGAATAACCTCACCGGTTACCATACATGTTAAGATCAGACAGCTAAAAGGGATAAGTTCTGGTTCTTTCTAAAACCACACCATACTGGCACAGGGAAGAGGAAAAAGTAAGGTGGGCTTGGGAGGCGGTAGAGGTAGTCACCCAGTGGCCCGATGCAACCCGGTGATTCCACATTTCCAGCTTGGCACCCTGGGGAGTGATAATGCTGCTGGCTCAGGGAAGCTGGAGGAGCAGGGGGACGGAGAGGAGATGATCTCCGGTTTGGACATAGCGAGTTTGTGATCCTGTGGGACATCTAGAAATGGAAGTGTCTAGAAGGCAGCCAGAAATAAAAGTCTGGCCGTTAGGAAGGAAAGCGAGCTAGGGAGTAAGCTTTGCACTTCTCAGGACAGAGGAACGGTGGGAAGCGCAAGCTGCTCCCAGGAGAGCGAGAGGACACCTCGCTGCTTTGGCCAGCCTGGTCTAGGAGAGGCGGGAGGGAGCTCTCGGGTCACTGCCCTCCTCCCCGTTTCTGCCCCAGCAGCGATGCATCGGAGAGCGGCATGCTGTCGCGGCTGGGTGACCTGCTCTTCTACACTATCGCCGAGGGACAGGAACGGATCCCCATCCACAAGTTCACCTCTGTAAGTCGCGCTCCACCTGGGCAACACTAACCCGCGGGGTCTCTGGAGGTGGGCTGGGAGCCGATGAAGCATTGGACGGCTGCCCCCCCCCCCGCCTCCGGGTGAAAGGTTAAACCTGCTGCCAAACCATCTTGGCTTGGAGCTTTGACCCACGGGGGTCAGAAACCAGTCACCTTTTTGAAAAAGGGCGGGACGCCCTACTGGCCCTCAGAGCTGCTCCTGTCCTGCCCAAACTCACTCGCCCCACCTGCAGCAGTAGGAGTAAGATGCAGCTGATTGTTACCCACTGGGAAAGGGGACAAGAATGAGGTGGCCGCTCTTGGGGGTCTTCACCAGGCCTTTCCTTTTCCCCAAAGGCGCTGAAGTCCACTGGGCTGCAGACGTCAGATCCGCGGCTGCGGGACTGCCTGAGCCAGATGCGCCACATGGTTCGCGAGTCCAGCAGCGGAGGCCTCTTGGACCGGGAGCTCTTCCAAAAGTGAGGGCCCAGACACAAGGGCAGCGCTCAAATCTGTCCGGGCGGGCGCAGAGACTCACGGCAGGGCAGGGAGGGCACCTTAGGGAGCCTCAGTCAGCCCCTCCGTGTGATAGAGAAATACATGTTCTCCTCCCCCCACCCCAGTCCCAGCCCTTCTTCCCGAGAAAACGCTGGCAACAGATGAATCGGTGTCTGTGACAGTGCCCTGTGCATCTGCATATGTGAGAGTCAAGTGAATGTACTTATGTGATCTAGGGTATTTTTAAATATGAACGTGCCCTACTCGACGTATTATTCGGATGTTTATTTTTTTCTCATATCCCAAGACACTGTCTTGGGCGATCTCTCAACATCGTTACCACCCCTCACTTTCGAGGCAAAGAGACTGAAGACCCAGAAAGATAAGGTGACGCCCCACAGGCCACACAGCTGTCGGCCCCCACCTGATGACCACTCACACCTCCTCTGTCCCCACCGTCCCTGGCTCCGGAGAGAGTTACAGCTGCTCTCTGCAGCCCTAACCCCGTCGTGTCCGGGATCCAGGTGTGTGAGCAGCAACATTGTGCTCCTGACCCAGGCATTCCGAAAGAAGTTTGTCATTCCTGATTTTGAGGAGTTCACGGGCCATGTGGATCGCATCTTTGAGGATGCCAGAGAGCTCACTGGAGGCCAAGTGAGGGCCGGGGGCTGCGGGAGGGAAGGGCTCTGGGCCACAGTACTTGAGCAGGGGGACTTCCTGGGGCTGGGTCGCCAGTGGATGGTCGAAATCCCTAGAAATGGGGACAAGGGCGTTACGTATTTCTATATGTGCGCTTTCTAGAGCAGGCGAGGAAGTCAGGCCTTATTGGGGACAGTGAGCCTAAAGATCCAGCAGAAATAGACCCACAGCATAATTGAGTCAGAACCAGAAGGAGCGCTGAGCCCGGAGCTCTCCCCCTTTACCTGCCCAGCCTCACTGCCGTCTGGTCGGAGTGGGCTGCAGAGAGCTGGGCCCTAGGACTGAGGCGTGGGTGTCTCTGGGAACAGCAGGTAGGAGGGCCCGTGTTGCCTGCAGAAGACAGAACTTTGACATATCTCAGTCTCTTGGCTCTGAACCCCAGCTCCGTCCCTCGCTCCGTCCCGACTCCCCGTGTGTTTTCTCTACCTGCCGTGCACAGGTGGCAGCCTACATCCCTCAGCTGGCCAAGGCGAATCCGGACCTGTGGGGCGTCTCCCTGTGCACTGTGGACGGTCAGCGGTGAGATGCTGGGTGGAGGACGGGGCGGCAGGGCACATCGGGGTGAGGGCCGACCTCATGGCGTCCGTCCCTGCTAGGCACTCTGTGGGCCACACGAAGACCCCCTTCTGCCTGCAGTCATGCGTGAAGCCCCTCACCTATGCCATCTCCATAAGCACCCTGGGCACGGACTACGTGCACAAGTTTGTGGGCAAGGAGCCCAGCGGCCTGCGCTACAACAAGCTCTCCCTCAACGAGGAAGGTGAGCGCCGCGGGCGCACCTGCCCGCTGCCCACCTCCCGCCGGCACGCCCCCTTCGCGTCTGTTTCTCTGCTCCCTGACGGGCGGGCGGGTCGGTCTCTCCTCCCCTCAAAGAAGCGTTTGTTGTCTGGCCCGCAGAGTGGGCAGGCTGAAAGGAAGTTTTACCCAGTAGCTGGTAAGACTCAGGGTTTCTCTCTCCCCAGGAATCCCCCACAACCCCATGGTCAATGCTGGCGCCATTGTCGTGAGCTCCCTGATCAAGGTCAGTGCCACCTTAGTCTAGTCTGGGACACGGTTCTCGTCTCGCCGCTGCTCTGTCTGTCGCATCTGCCCACCTCTCCGTGAAGACCTTGATTCCTCTCAGGGTCCCCAAAAGCACATGAGGGTACAGCCGGGCCTACACGTTATGCTGAGGATGTAAGGAACAGGAACTGCCCTGCCCCCCATGAATCTGTGGTCCCGGGTTCCCTGGCCCTAGGGAAATGAGCAGGTCCTGACCTACCCAGCATAAGGCCTGCCAGACATGGGGCCAGGGCTGCAAGACACCGATTGGCCATCTCTGGGGGAGGGTCACAGGAAGGAAGGGTGAAAGGCCAGGCCAGGGCAGCCATTCACGTCACCTGGAACTGTGAGTTGGCCTTGAGCAAAGGTGTCAGGCCAGCCGTAAGCTGGAGCCTTCCCGGGTTTGGGCCAGGACCAGAGAGCAGCAGGGCAGCAACAGCCTGCAGCCAATCACAGCCCCTCCTGGGGAAGGTGCTGGTAGACCTCTCCAGGGACTGAGGTGTCAGAGTCCCCGAGTTGACCCTAGGTGACACAAGCAGGAAGGTTGGGGGGTGGGGAGACCCGCTTCTGCCTTCCTTTGCTCTAGGGTAGCTTCACCTAAACCCTACATGCCTCACCCAGCCCACTGAGCAGGCCCCACCGGACTGGGCCAGCAGTCCGCTCTCGTACCGATTCCGCAGCTGAGCAGAGCCCGCGGGGCTCTGATGCCACTCGCGTCCGTCCGTCACTCTGGCTTGGAGGTGGCCGTGAGGGAGGGCCGGGAGAGGGTGAGGCTTCACCCTGGGACCTAAGGAGTGGGGTCAGGAGCGGCGGTGGGGTGGGAACAGGATGGTGGAGGAAGATGAAAGTGGGAGTGGCGGGCTTGGGGGTGGGGCTGGAGGCGGGAGAGGGCCTCGCAGGGCCAGGGCCACACGCAGGGTGACATGTCCTGTACTCATTGCCTAATCGAAATGACTCAGTTGTTGTTTTTTTAAGATTTATTTGTATTTATGTACACAAGAACTGGGGTGTAGAGCAGAGGGGCCTGGGGGTGAGAGGACTCCCCAGAGACAGAGAGGGGAGCGGACTGATAAACCCACTGCTGAGGGAGCAGCGGGGAGACAGGAGAGGTCTGCTGTTCCCTGCGGGTCACTCCCTGGCCGGGGATGGACCTCCTGCTGCAGTGGCTTCTGCTGGCTTCATAGTGCTGCACCTTAACCCGCTGCACCACCAGGGAGGCCCTAAATGGCTTGTTTTTTTTTTTTTTTTTTCAAATAATGTAATAGTTTATTTTTACGTCATTTTGTGCCTTTTTCCATCTCAGTTGTCGTCCTCGTGGGCTTCCCATCACCAAATCACCCGTGTGCCATCACCACAGTCCAGTGAATTTCCACCCCCACCCCCATAAAAATGACTTAGTTTTTAAGGTCACTGGATAACGCATGGACACAAAAAGGTCCCACTTAAAAAAAAAAGTCACTGTAAAACAGAACAACACTCCATTACCTAATCGGAATGACTCGTTTGTATAAAAGCAGTGTGTATCTGAGCTCAAATAGATCTTCCTGGTCCTCCCGGCACCTGCCAAGGCTGGGAGTACTGAGATGTGTCTCTCTCTCTCTGCAGATGGACTGTAACAAAGCAGAGAAGTTTGATTTTGTAAGTCCCCGCCGCTGTTCCCTCGGGCGAGCTGCCCTCGCCAGTGCCCCAGGGCGCTCCAGCCCCGCTCTGCTGCTGCCCCCTACCAGCCTTGTTCTGGAGGCCCGGAGGCTGTGGCCCTTGGCGCGGAAAACCTGAGGTCCCGTGGGGAGGACTCAGGCGCTCAGCGGGGTAGCTGGCCTAGTGGGTGCTGGTGGGGTCCCCACGCACGTGGCACCTCCCAAACCCCTTCTTCTCTCCTAGGTATTGCAGTATCTGAACAAAATGGCTGGGAATGAATACATGGGCTTCAGCAACGCCACGTAAGGCCTGCTCCCGGACTGGCCGGGGTGTGAGATGGAGGCGGTGATCGCAGATTCTTGGGGGAAGAAATTCCGGGAGCTTTGGCCTTCCAGCTGCCTCCGAGTCCAGTCCCTTCATGGGCATTCACTTTGCAAAGAACTGATGCTCTCTGTGCGTCAGTAATGGGAACGCCAGAGCGGGGTTCCACCTAGCTCCCGTCCTGCCCACCCCTCCAAGCCAGAAGCACCCCTTGCTGGGACAGGCGACTGGACAGTAGGGGGGCGGCTCACACTTTACAGTAGGCTGTGCCTGCCCGGTGCTCACCCTGTTCACCCGGGTCCCAAAGCTCCCTCAGTGTTCCCGTGACCACCTGCCAGGATGGACCTGGTGTGCCCGAGGGGGCGCTGGCCCTATTCACACTTGCCCTTCACACACCAGCACTAAAATGTGTTTGCCTCAGATTCCAGTCAGAGAAGGAAACGGGGGATCGAAATTACGCCATTGGCTATTATCTAAAGGAAAAGAAGGTAACGGAGAGCGGCTGGCCCAGGAGGGCCCTGGGAATCCCGTCTGGTGGAAGGGAAGTTGGGCCGGGGGCCGAGCTGCTGGCGCCTGAAGAGAAATGCTCTCCCCTCTTCCCTGCAGTGCTTCCCCAAGGGGGTGGACATGATGGCTGCCCTCGACCTCTACTTCCAGGTAAGCACACTCTGCTGCCCCGCTCAGGGCCGGGAAGCACAGACGCCTCGGGCTCTCACCCGCCATCCTCAGCGGTGCCGTGCCTGGGCCCACACCGCCCCTCCCTCGCTTTGTCTCCACAGCTGTGCTCCGTGGAGGTCACCTGTGAATCAGGCAGCGTCATGGCGGCCACGCTGGCCAACGGCGGGATCTGCCCCATCACCGGCGAGAGCGTGCTCAGCGCAGAAGCAGTACGCAACACGCTCAGTCTCATGCACTCCTGCGGCATGTACGACTTCTCGGGCCAGTTCGCCTTCCACGTGAGTGCTCCGGCCCTGCTACGCATTTGCTGCAAGCCCGGTACAAGAGGGACGAGGCTCTGGGGTGGACGGGGAAGCCTGCGCCTGCCGCACTCACTGGTTCCCAGATAGTCCTTGGGGGAGTGAAACGCACATTCCTCAGACACATGACCTGCAGCTTGTGGCCTGCCCTGCCAGTCTCTGCTTAGATATTGCTCCCAAGGACGCTCTCTGGCGACTCGCCTGTGGGTCCCCTCCACCTGTATTCTGTCACAGCGCCTTTCACCTCTGCTCCCATGAGCTGTAATCATGTGTCGGTTTACCTGATTGTCTAGCTCCTGACACCGGAATTAAGCTGCCTCACTTGGTCCTGACTCTAGCGGCATTAGGCAGAGCAGCCCGCACGTGCTTCCTCTGTGAAATTCTGACTGGAAAGGGAGCCAGACTGGGCAGTAGAACAAGCCCGAGGTTGGCGTGGCGTGGCCTGATCTCGCCCGCCATCGCCTAGACGGGCTGTCTGTCACCCTCAGCTCCGCCTTTGCCTCCCAGGTGGGCCTGCCAGCCAAGTCAGCTGTGTCAGGGGCCATCCTCCTGGTGGTGCCCAATGTCATGGGGATGATGTGTCTGTCACCTCCCCTGGACAAGCTGGGGAACAGCCATCGGGGTATCAGCTTCTGCCAGGTGAGTGGCTTCGAGTACAGTACTTCAGAGTTCTGAGTGGAGTAAAGAAAGGAAGCTTGCGTTCCTCCAAGGACAAGAAAACAGTCTCTTTGGTTTAAAATTCTAGAAGCTGGTGTCTCACTTCAATTTCCACAACTACGACAACCTGAGGCACTGTGCCCGGAAGTTAGACCCGCGGCGTGAAGGGGGGGAAGTCCGGGTAAGGACCTGGCAGCTTTTGACACCATTCAGCAGAGGGCTCCGGCCGCCGGAGCAGCCTCGGGAGGGCGGGCCGGCCCACTGCCCCAGTCTGTCTCAGGGGTTTGGCTTGCATTCCAGAACAAGACGGTGGTGAACCTGCTATTCGCTGCCTATAGTGGAGACATCTCCGCCCTTCGAAGGTACTTCCGTGACCACATACATCCAACAAAACACTCCTGGTCAGGTCTCAGCAGGCGCCGCAAGGCAAATGTTGAGGGCTTCTGCTGTGCAGTCAGGGTGGACAGAGCCGGAATTTCCAGAACTTTTACACTATGCCTGCCACGCAGTAAGAACTTAACAGCAGCCATTGCTGAGCTTGAGCTGGGTGCCGAGGTTAGCGTCCCGGGGAGGTGTGGCCCGGCCTCTGATTACCAGCGGCCACGGATATGTACCAGGCAGGACGGGTGCTAAAGTTTCCAGAAGCATCAGGCTCCTGTCTCTATTGTGGGACTAGCAGTCTCATCGGGAACTCGACCCCGATGGTGCAGCACATTCCCCTCTTGGCACAGCTGCTTTCCTTTCCCTGGAAGCCGGCTCCGTGACCCCCGCTTCCAAAGGACTCGCCCCGTGGCTGGCCGGGTGACCCAGCTACTCTCCCCTGCCTCAGGTTTGCCCTGTCGGCCATGGACATGGAGCAGAAAGACTACGACTCCCGCACGGTTCTGCACGTTGCTGCAGCGGAAGGTACTGACGGCAGGTCCGAAAGCCAGCTCTTTGCCACCAGGAGCGCCCCTTTGCACACCCTCAAGATTACAGCTAGTTTTGTCCAGATGCCCTCCCATCTGCAGACTACTGTGGGTTGCTGTGGGGAGCAAAATGGGCAGAGGTCTGCGCCCTGCCCTATCCTTGGCTTAGACTCCAGCTGCCCGAGGACCGCAGCTGACGCCAAAGCCCCTCTCACTCTCCTTCTGCCCTTACTCCCAGGACACATTGAAGTTGTCAAATTCCTGATTGAGGCTTGCAAAGTGAATCCTTTTGTCAAGGACAGGTGAGTGGCAAGGCCCAAAGGGGGTGGGAGGTGAGGGGCGGGGGGGGCTTTGCACTGCCCTCCGGCCTCCAGTCCCGGTCTAACCACAGACCCCGTGACTTCTTCTCTGACCTGGCCCTTGTTCCCTCAGGTGGGGCAACATCCCCCTGGACGACGCTGTGCAGTTCAACCACCTGGAGGTAGTGAAGCTGCTGCAAGACTACCAGGACTCCTACACGCCCTCCCAGGCTCAGGCCGAGGCCGAGGCCGCGGCCCTGTCCCGAGAGAACCTAGAGAGCATGGTGTGAGCACGGAGTGGTGTCCCCGCTCCAGCCGAAGCGCCAGCCGGCCGCACGCTTACCCATTACTACCAACAAGCCATGGACAGCGGCACTGCTTCTGTGGGGACCAGGACTTGGCCAGTGCTTTCTTTGAGAGTCAAACTGCCCATTCCTTTGGCAGGCAGCAGAGAGAAGTGCCTCCTGGCCCTCTGCAGTGGGGCTGTCCATGCAGACCGTGGCTGCTTCCAGTACAGCTTCATAGCCCGGCCCACTCAAAACCACCCAGATCGCCACCCAGACCCCTCTTCTCCCTGGAGGAACCATCTCGGCAGATAGAGATGCCCTGGCGAAGCGGGGCTAGCCACCCGCCACCAGGCATAGTATTTACCCAAGGAGGAAGGGGCCGAGGGTGGCTGTGGCCTGGCTCGCGTAGTCTGGAGAAGTCTGCCTCCCCTTGGCCAGGAAGTGCTCCTGCTACTGCTGACAGCAATTTTATAGACAGAGAAAGTATTTTGTGCTCAAATAAACTTTAATTACACAGATTATTATTTTTGCTAAGCCCAGTCCTCGTTCTCCCCGAGGTGCATCCGACTGTGTCTCCATCATCAGAGACTAAGATGGAACCACAGGGTCAGAGCTCAAGCAATATAGATTTCACTCACAATTCACACATCTAATCACTGATTCCACCAGGTTTTCTCAACCCCAAATACTGCGCTAGGATCAGTTTGTTCTGCTGCTAAGGGGCTGAGGGTGTGGGTCTGAGCAGGTCCAAAACTGGATTGTACAAGAACTCAGGCCTCCTTCCTCCTGGAAGTTCCAACTGTAGCAGAAACGAGTATGGGACTTCCCAAGAATAAAGTTTTCAGCACAACACCCCAGTGTCTCGTCCCCTTTGGTCATGACCATTGCTGGCCCATGGCGATAACGGACTGACCAGGTGTCAGACGGTGTGCAGATTAAGGCAGACGGGCTGGGGTGAGACAGCTGCAGCTGCGTGGGGCAGCGAGTGTGGCGCCGAGGCACTGGGGAGGAGAGCTCTGTCCTTACTGACAGTAAAGTGCTTCCCGAGGGAGCCAGAACCCAGACTGCTCCGGAGAAAGGGCCAGCTCACAGACTGCCCCACCCTCCTCCAGCCAGAGGTAGAAAGGGTTTACTCTGGAGAAATTCAGTAGAGCCCCAAGAACAACCAGAAGCTACCTGGCAAAAAGAGATCACGGCCATGAGGGAATTCAAACTACAAACCCCAGAATGAATAAAGCTGTGAAAGGCTTGGGCAGCGGGGCTGGAGGAGGCAAGTCAGAGAAAGTACATTCATGGTAGTGGAGGGGGGGGGTGGCTTCACCTAGCTTTCACAGGGCAGAGGAGAGAAAGGTGACTGACTGCACAGAGGACCTGACGCTGGACTGTGCGAACACATTGCTCCGGACAAAGCTTACAGGCTGCAGACACGGCAGATGGCTGGCCAGGAGTGTGATCTGGGGCTCCAGTGTGGGCGTGCTAGAGGCCCGCAGGCACCTCAATTCCTGAGTGGGTCAGCAGTTCTCCGTCCCAAAGGGCAAAGGCAGGCACCACAGGACCCCGGAAATCTGTCTTTATCGTGTAGACTACAGCGACCCGGCTCACATCCACGAGGCTCAGCTTCTGGGCCTCATACTCCAGCAGCAGCCCCACCTTCTCTGGCTGCCCGATGCCCTCAATCGGGGCTTTCTCGTTTACTAACATGGTGTGCCACTTGCGCTGGGCATAGGTGAACACCCAAGAACGATCGTCAACACCGATGCAGCCATCGCGGGACATGTCCACGTCGGCCACTCCTATCCGGAACTGCTGGGAGCGCCTCACCGTCACCTCCCAGTAGTGCCTGCCGCTGGAGACCGCGGTGTCCGCCAGCACCACTGCCCACTCCCGGAAGCGCTCCGCATTCGGGGCCAACTTGGTGGGTTCCAGCCCCACCAGGCCGTACTTGACACCCGTGTCACCTTTGAACAGGGCCAGGCTGCTGTGGGCCGTCTTTTCTTCCAGTTTGAAACTGATGCCTGCGGGCAGAGCGAAAAGACGGCGTGACCGCGGGGCGACCGCGGGGCGATCGACGCATCCAGACTCCCGCACGAGGCCGCGGCCAGGGCGCGGGGCAGCCCGGGGGCGGGAAAGTGGGGCCGGCTCGCCAGGGCGGCCCTCGGGCTGGGGGCGTCCAGGCTTTAAGGAAACCGGGTAGCGCCACTTTGGGAGCCAGGCTGCCAGCGACGCGGGAGGGGAGCTGAGCCGGGGCCGGCGCTGGCAAGCGAGCGGCTCCGGGAGAAACACACGCGGAGCCACGCTGGAGGCGAAGAGGCGGAAGGCGAGGACCCTACCTCTGCGGGCTTCCGCGGCGACAGCCCCCAGCTGTTTGGCTCCCCAACGGCACAGGGCCAGCGAGCGCGCAAAGGGCAGCGCCATCTTGCGCCACCGAAGGACAGGGCACGCCCCGCGGCCGACCCCGCCGCCCGCGGC